GAAACTGCCCACCACTATATAGCTGGTGAGGCCCTCCTGGGTGGCAGGGGCTGGCAGGAGAGAGGCATAAAGCAGCGACACACTTGGCACTGCAGTTGGTGGGAAGTGCCACAAGGCCTGGGAGGGACGGGCCACAAAGGGTGCCAGGACTCCGGGTGAGCAGGGTTCACCCTGCAAGGGCAAGGCTCTGCGCACCAAGCTCTCAGGAATAGGTGATCTAGGGGCGTCTGGGTGGCTCAGTGGGTTAGGCGTCCAACTCTTTTGATTTCGGCTCAGGTCATGATCTCAGGGTCCTGGGATCGAGCCCCACACTGGGCTCCGTGCTCAGCAGGGAGTCTGCTTGAGGACTCTCTCTCCCTCTGCCCCTCCCCCCACTTGGGCTCTCTCCTCTCTGTCTCAAATAAATAAATCAATAAGAAAGAGAAAAAGAGAGAGAAGGAGATGGGCGCCTGGGTGGCTCAGTCGTTAAGCATCTGCCTTCGGCTCAGGTCATGATCCCAGGGTCCTGGGATCGAGTCCCACATCAGGCTCCCTGCTCTGCGGGAGGCCTGCTTCTCCCTCTCCCACTCCCGCTGCTTGTGTTCCTGCTCTCGCTATCTCTGTCTCTGTCAAATAAATAAATAAAATCTTTAAAAAAAAAAAAAGAGAGAGAGAGAGAAGGAGAAAGGAAGGAAGGAAGGAAGGAAGGAAGGAAGGAAGGAAGGAAGGAAGGAAGGAAGGAAGGAAGGAAGAAAAAGGGAGGGAGGGAGAGAGGAAGGAAGAAAGAAAGGGGTGATCTACCCACCCACCCACCCACTGGCTCAAGGGCCCCTCGAACCACCCCCTGCCATTTAGAAAGCACACCTGGGGAGCACGGCAGAAAACACGGGGCCCGTCACTCCATCCCAGAGCCCAGACAGATGGGATCCACCCCCCACTCTCCCCAGTCTGAGTGGACTTCGGGGACAACGTGCAGCCCAGGGCCCAGGCTCCTGTGTGCCCAGCCGGGGATGCAGGAGCCAGTGGGAAGCTGGCCCCAGCAGCAGACTGGCAAGCTCCAGGCCCTGGCTTCATTTTTGCTTTTTGCTGAGCTTCAGAAAGCCTCTGACACATACCCTCCCCCAGATGAACACAGGGGGTGCCCTCAGTACTCCCCAAGGTGATGCCGAGCTAAAACGTTTCACAGGTCCCAGGCTCTGGAACCTGTCTGCTTGTTCCCTCCAGGCTCATCCCCCGGCTCTGCTTCCGGCTGAAGCATGAATGGCCTGGAGGTGGCTTCCCCAGGTCTGACCGCCAACTCCTCCCTGGCCACCGCAGAGCAATGTGGCCAGGAGACGCCACTGGAGAACGTCCTCTTCGCCTCCTTCTACCTCCTGGATTTCATCCTGGCTTTTGTTGGCAATGCCCTGGCCCTGTGGCTTTTCATCCGGGACCATAAGTCAGGCACCCCCGCCAACGTATTCTTGATGCACCTGGCTGTGGCCGACTTGTCCTGTGTGCTGGTCCTGCCCACCCGCCTCGTCTACCACTTCTCTGGGAACCACTGGCCGTTTGGGGAAATCCCGTGCCGACTCACCGGCTTCCTCTTCTACCTCAACATGTACGCCAGCATCTACTTCCTCACTTGCATCAGCGCTGACCGCTTCCTGGCCATCGTGCACCCCGTCAAGTCCCTCAAGCTCCGCAGGCCCCTCTACGCACACCTGGCCTGCACCTTCCTCTGGGTGGTGGTGGCCGTGGCCATGGCCCCGCTGCTGGTGAGCCCGCAGACCGTGCAGACCAACCACACCGTCATCTGCCTGCAGCTGTACCGGGAGAAGGCCTCCCACCACGCCCTCGTGTCCCTGGCCGTGGCCTTCACCTTCCCTTTTGTCACCACCGTCACCTGCTACCTGCTGATCATCCGCAGCCTGCGGCAGGGCCCCCGCGTGGAGAAGCGCCTCAAGAACAAGGCGGTCCGCATGATCGCCATGGTGCTCACCATCTTCCTGGTCTGCTTCGTGCCCTACCACGTCCACCGCTCTGTCTACGTGCTGCACTACCATGGCAACAGCACCTCGTGCGCCGCCCAGCGCATCCTGGCCCTGGGAAACCGCGTCACCTCCTGCCTCACCAGCCTCAACGGGGCGCTGGACCCAGTCATGTACTTCTTTGTGGCCGAGAAGTTCCGCGATGCCCTGTGCAACCTGATCTGTGGCAAAAGGCTCTCAGGCCCGCCCCCCAGCTTTGAAGGGAAAACCAATGAGAGCTCACTGAGTGCCAGGTCAGAGCTGTGAGCCCTGGGATGCCATACCTGGGGCCCACCGCCGTACACTGTCTTCAGAAAGACACCCCCCCCCGCCATGGTGCATGCCACCCAGACTCGTGAAGGAGAAATCCACCTTCTCCCAGCAAGCCACTGCCACTCTCTCCAAGGGCGGAACTCAGCACCCAGCACCCGGTTCTGTCTTATCTGATGCACAAATCCCTAAAAAAGGACACCCCTTGACGGGACCGATCGGCTACCCCCTCTGCAGAGACTGTGCTGGCCCTGCTCACTTGCAGTTACTAGATACTCAATGACTTCACCCCATGGCAAGGGGGGGCAAGGAGGCCAGAGGAACGTTCCTGAACAATGAGTGTCTTTCTTTCCCAAGGGCTGCTTGCTAGACTCCCAACCACCTTCCCACCACAAGAATCACAAGGCAGCAAGGGCTCTGCAGAAAGAGCCCCGAAGGCAGTGACGAATGACTCAAGAGAAGGGGGGGTGCGGGAATCCAGGTGGAGGGGGGCGGGGTTTGAGTTCCCTGGGTGGCACTTTTGCCAGATGACCCCTGAGTTTAGGGGACGTTGACTGTAACTTATAATTGAGTGTTGTAAGTACATTTTGGGCTGGCCACCAGGTGACATCCAACAAATGCGGCCTGTGGGCTCATCATCTCAATGCTGGGTCCTTGATCCCTGCATGTGGCCCAACAATCCCCACAGCTTCTCGGCAGCTGCCTGATCCCTCTTGAGTCGGTCAAGCATACGGCATGGGTGGGCAGATGGGGGGAGCCAGGCTTTGTCCCTGCCTCAGGACATCTCCAGCAGGGAGCCCACACCTGGCATGGGACCCTGTCTCACACTAACCCAGACCAGCAGGGGTGTCCTTAGCCCTGCCCCCTCCCAAGAGGCTCTCCCAGCTGTGGAGGGCCAACCTGCCACGCTAGCAGGTTCCTTTTTGTACCTGATCACACTGATCATAAACATAACTGTACTTGAAGATTCTGAAGGTTATTGTGTTCGGCTGACATTACTCCCTTCCCAGAACTTATCTTCGCTTCCACCCAAGAGTGACAAAGAGGATGTGAAGACAGGCTAGGCCAGGCAGCACATGCTTTTGCCTCTGGTTCTGACAGCCCCGCGCAGGCCTGCCCCACGTGGACGCTCAAGTTCTGCATCACGGGCCTCAGAGGGCTGGCCCTGGGCCAGGAGGGTCTGAGCAGGGGCCACACTTCCTTCACAGCAGCCCTTTCCTTCCTTGAGCGCTTCCAACCTCCCAGGGGTGGGGGCTCAGTGTGAGCATAGCTCAGGAGGAGAGAGGCCTCGCTCAGGCCCACGCCCTGTGGGCCACCCCCGATCAGCACGGGGCCCCCGTGACACCATCTGCCCTCCACAGCCCCTCATGTAGACAACAACACCGGCTCCTGCCCAGGGGCCTACAGACACCAAGACCGACACCAGGCAACATGGAGCAGGCAAATGGGTGCGATCCTTACAGGCAGCATCCAGAGCAAGGGGTGCGGTGGCAGAGAACAGAGAAGCGACAAGGTCGGAGAGGGCGGGGGAGTCAGACACCTAGGGTGGGCGGCGATCGTCTGGCACGGGGAGACCTGCTGGTCAGCCAAGGAGAAACCAGAGTTTGGTTGGGGCCTATTGTATTTGGGATGCCCAGTGGACACCACGAGGCTGAGAACCCGAGGGAAAGGTCTGGGGTGGAGGTGTACATCTGAATCGTCCAGCACATGCATGCCAATCAGAGCTCTGGGACTTTGGACAGAGATGAGGCCCACGTGCCGAGCCCCCAATGAGCCAACATGGAGAGACAGATGGAGAGAGGTAAGTCAGAAGGGGAGAGGACACAGCACAGGCAGGAGGCCGAGGAAACCAGAACACAGGGTCCTGGGCGCCTGGAGAGCAGGCATTTCAGCAAGAAGGAAAAGCTGCCGGGAAGCCTGCCGAGAGGCCAAGAGAGGACCAGCAGTGACCCGTGGGTCTGGCAAGCAGAGGGAGGTCGTGGGGGCCGAGCAGACTGGCAGTGGGGGGCACATGAGAGGAGCCAGCGAGGCCGCTGGGACAGGCTGCAGACAACCGCGGTGGGAGGACAGCTCTGGGAGAAAGAGCACAGACTGCAGCTGGGAGCCCCGCTAGAGAGGAGGGTGGGAAGGAGCGGGACCTCGGGAGGAGCAGGGACAGGGCCTCCGTGGTGCTGGTGCTTGGGGACTGAGCCGGGGAGGCACCAGGGCAGGGAGCAGGACAGCTTTCCCCTCGGGGAAGTGGGAGGGGACGTCCTGACTTTGGGAGGGTGGTGGGCAGAGAGGCCATGCAGGGAGAAACGAGCCCGTCTTCCTGGAAGGCGGGGACTTAGTCTACCAAGGAACCCTAGCCGGGTGCCCTGCGTGTCAGAGTCAATTTGGGCCCCCCTGGCTGAGTGATCTCTCTCCAGCAGCATTTAGCCAGGGGTACATGGAAGGAGGTAGGTGGTTGGGCTCAGCGGCGAGGGGTGGCCAGGCAGTAGTGATGACCCAAAGCTCTTTGTCCATCCACTGCATCTGATGGTCCCTGCTCCGGCCACCTTCATCCTCGCTGCCTACTGTCAGCCTGCTCCTGGGAGCATCCCCAGGCCCGGGGCAGGCCCTACTCTCTCCGGCCCCAGCCCTCACCTGTAAACCAGGGGTCTCTTAGCGGCCTTGCCAGTGGGCACAGGCCACAGGGCCCGGTGCTCACTAGGCAGTGCCCGGGTGAGGGCCCTCCTCCCACCCAGCCCCGGCCCACCTCACCTGCCTGCGTTCTTCACGAAGCCCAGGTCAGCCAGCTCCACGTCACACAGCTCACAGCGGAAGCACCCCGGGTGCCAGTTGTTGTTCATAGCCTTGATGACGCGGCCGATGATGAACTCACCTGGAAGACATTGGTCCCTGCTCACTAAGGCAGGCGTGCGCTCCCCTCCCAGCCCCCTCCCAGCCCCCTCCAAAGCCCTGCACTCACTGGCACTCGCCTGAGCTCAGCCTGGTCCCGGGGCTCCCCTCCCAGAGCTTGGGGAGGTGATGCCTGCAGAGAGCTGGTGCTCAGAGAGGGGGTCAGGGAAGAGCACCTGTGCTCCCACCCACCTGCCCAACCCCCCAGGCGTGCAGAGGAGTGTGCTGCATCCAGCCCTTACCGCAGGATCCGCAACACGGAGCAAACAGCATTTGGAAGTCGTGTTCGCAGTACTTCCGGCCTTCGAACTGCAAATGGGCCAGCAGAGAAAATTCAAGCAAACGCCCATTATTGCCCCCAGCTGGCTGGTCTTTGATGGATCAGGACCCACCCTCGGGGAGGCTAGAGAAGCACCCCAATTTAAGCAACTGCTACCAGCAGGAAGCGGGGTGCAGCACCTAACCCTCCTTCCAGAGAAGGCTTCTGGAGGAGGTGGTAAGGAGCTAGAAGACCGCAGGGGTGGAGGTGCTGAGAGGAAGGCATCCCAGAGCAGCAGGGGCAAGGCCTGGAGATGGGAGGGAATCAGCCGGAATTGGCCCTTTCCACAGGCAGGTGTGCAAAGTGAGGGGTCTCCGAGAAGCTGGGAACTGGGCAAGGCCAGCCTTCCAAAAGCCGAGGCTATTTGCACAAGATCTTGTCCCTGCTGGTGCTGGGAGCGAGCCGAGGGCTGGGATCAAGTCTGATTTATAAATGTCACTTGGCCCTATTTCCTGTGTGTCTTCTCTGTGTGAGAAGGCATTTCCCCCAGAGGCCACCAGAGACCCGGAGAGGGAAGACAGAAAGAGGGACACAGGAAAAACATGGGGCCCTGAGGGAGAACCCCAAGCCCTGCAGCCAGCAGGAGCCACTCCGGGCACCAGCCATCGTCCCCATGTACCTGGGCATGATGGCCCTTGCACTAGCCCCAAGTGTGGCCAAACCCTGTCCCTGCTTTCTTCTCCCTTGACAATTTTTTCTTATCAAAAAGGTCGGTTTGCCCTCTTCTCTGAAATGAGCGTCTTATTGGGCTACAACTGAATACAGCCCTACCCAGTGGCCCGTAGAGGTGGCAGGGCGTGAAATTAATTCAGCAACGACTATTTCCTGAGCACCTACTATGCTCCAGGCTTTGTTCTAGGCACATGGCCACTGCAAACAGAGCTCGGCCTCCCCTCCCCGTGCCTCTACAGTGCTCCAGCATTTCCCCCAGACGGCTAGGAGGAGCTCACACACCGCACGGCCACCCATCTGTCGATCCCATCAGCTGTACCTTCCAAGTCTCTCCAGCCTCTGAGCCCCGGTCACCACTTCCACTGCACCCCCCACTGGTGCGCTGGTAAATGACGACCAACCAGCCCTTTGGAAGGCGGGGTCCGATCTGTAGCATTTAACAGTTTCTAAGGTGTGACTATTCCTGCCACGGACAATGTCAAGCTCCCAACAGGACAGCAGCATGGAGTTCAGCTATGTGCGGCAGCCATCAGGGTACGGTTTCCACCACCCAGGTATAATAGACAAATAACTTCGAAGGCATAGATGATAGGAAAACATAATAAAATAATTAGGAAGTGGTGAGTTTTGAGTATGTGTTACCCTTGTTTTCAATAAAATTTTATCTCCCTGTACATTTATATAACTTAATTTTTACTAAGAGTTATGTTTACCCACGAGCTGGCAAGTTTTTTAAAAATTTAAACAATCTGCTCTTATGAGCCACTATGGCCCGATCTAGACCACTTCACTTGATCTGGATTTTTTCAGTAATCCAGCTTCTGGCCCCACCTGTTCTCCAGCTTCTGTGCCTGCCCACATTAGTCTCTCCCCAGCACAGCAAGGAGAACGGTCCTTTTCAGATGTCAGACAGACTGCCTCCTGCTGCACCTCAAATTCCCTGCATGCTCTGACCTCAGGGCCTTTGCACTTGACTGTTCTCTCTACTGAGTGCTCTTCCTGCAGATGTGTGCATGGCTCCCTCACCTCCTTCAGGTCTGCTCAAACATCACCTTCCCTGACCACCCACCCTCCTCACCCCAAGAGCCTCTATACCCAGAGCACTGAGCACCATCTGATATACTATATATTTATTCTGTTCACTGTCTGATCCCAAAGGAGGGTATGTCCCACCAGGGCAGGGTGTTTGCATCCCGTGGCCTCCCAGAGTCTACCCAGAGGAGGCTGGATGAATGGTGACTCTCCTTCAGCACCCACAGCCACCAGGGGGGCCCTGTTCACACCTCATACGTGAGGATGTGCCCCCAAAGTGCAGCAAGCCTAAGACCTGGCACGACTGCCCATCAGTCATCAGTCAGGACCATGGCTGGGCACAGCCCACAGGCTCTTAGAACGCAGGCTCTGAGCTGGTGGGGGATTCGGGCTCCAATACGGCAGTCCGGCCGGGGGTCCTGGGTCCTCACCTCGTAGAAGAGCCCCTCGGGGAAGGGCCGGAAGCACTGGGCACACACGAAGCAGTGCTCGTGGTACAGCTCTCCGTTGCTGTTGACGATCCGCTCGGCAGGGGCAAAGCGCGCCTGGCAGCGCTGGCATACCGCGTTGGCCAAGGCGCTGGACATGTTGCTGCGGGGAGAAGGAACGAGAAGGTCAGGACTGCGGAGGGGCAAAGTCAAGCAAGCCTGGAGGGCTGCACTCGAGGGGCACGCCTCCCTCCTTAAAAAGTTAAAATGTTCTCCAGCGTAAGGAAAATCTCTGTTCTCGCCCTGATGACAGTCTTGGCGCTGTGGGGACTCAGCAACACGCAGTCGGGGCCAAGCTGCCTGGCACCAGCTTGGCTCAGCCTGCACAGCTACCCTGCAAATCCGCCGAAGCTTCTGTGCGCCACGGGCATCCTAAGTGCCAGCGCACACCAGGGGCTACAGTATGTATTCCCAGACGACAACCCTACTAGGCCAACACAGCATCCCCATTTTACAGATGGACAAGCCAAGGCCTGCAGAGAGTTAGTGTCCTTCCCGAGGGCCACAGTGCGTGGAGGCAAAGCCTGGATTAGAAAACAGCACCCCTCCAGACTCTAAAGCCCCCATCTTTCTGCCATGCCCTGCAGCCCCCAGGCACTTCCATGGAGCATCAGACGCGGCTGGGCCATAGCCAGGCACACACCGGTCAGAGCAGCGAGGGCTCAAGACCGGCACTCTCATGGTGGCCTGGGCTGTACCTCACTCTCTGGGTCTAGACTCCCAGCCATGGAAAGACCATAAGATGGGTGAGAGGCCCGTTAGATGAGGGACACGTGTCAGCACTCAGCTCATGCCTGGCCCACAGTAAGCCCCCACGAAGGACGATGCTACTGCATCGTCTCTGCTTGGTTCCCAGGCTGCTCAGTCTTCATCATGCTGGCCCATGTGTTGGGGTGTCTGTGGCCACCTCAGCTCCCTCTCGTGCCTCCTATCGCCTCGTCTCAGGGAACCAGAGTCTCTCAGGTATAGAATTCACCCAGGCACAAATCAGTAGCTCTGTAATCCACTGGTTTAATCCCTGAGGCAACCCTCCCCTCCAGATGAGAGAACTAAGGCTCAGAGAGGTTAGGCAACTTGCCCAAGCTCACACAGTAGATGACAGAGTCCAGATTTGAACCCAGATTGGTCGGACTGCAATGGCTCTTTCCTCTGCACTAGGAGTTAGTTGCAAATCACCTGCCCCCAAAGAAACATATAACCACCCTACCATGGAGAAGGTGAGAGTGTGACTCTTTGGGATAGGAGCAGGCTGGGAACAAACCTCCTCATCCAGGGTGGGCAACGCCGTCCCTGGGGTAAGTGGCAGGCTTCCTTTTGGGAGGAGTAGAGTCCAAACTGAACCACAAGGGGAAATGCCCACACTGCGCCAGACGCATGCTGAGGGGCCCCGAGGCGTGGCCCAGAAGAGCTGTGTCGTTGGACTGGCAGCCTCTATGACCTTCCAACACGCTGATGCCCAATGCCTTTTGTTATACGGGTAGCAAAGAGTCTCAAGTGTCACCCCCGACAAATGGGTGGTGGCTGCCTGGATATCTGGGCAAAGCAGGACAGTCAGGCTCAGCAAGGAGAGATGCAACCAGCTGGCAACGTCAGGTAGGCGCGTAGAGTGACTGGACACAAGCTGCCTGCTCCTGAGAATGTCTTTCCAGCCTGTCCTGCCTGCTGGGGTATGAATCCCATCCCTCCCTGGCTGCCCAGCATTGAGAGGAGTTCTCGAGTGAGCGAAGCTCTGGCTGGGGTGCTCAGGTGTCCGTCCTAAGCAGGATGAGCGCAGGAGGTGGGAGAGGGCTCTGCCGTCCCGGGGTCCGGGTGTGGGCTAGGGACAGTGGGTCTAACAGCGCTGCTGGCGCACACACTGGCTGAAGCTGGGCTGGGGGCCCCAGGCAGGACGCCATCGCTGTCCAGACTGGGAAACCATGTGGCAGGGAGGGGCAGGGCCAGAGGGCTCTTCGGAAGCCTTGCCAGGCACTGCTGCATGTCTCAGCCTGCCCTCGGGTGTGTTTTGGGGACCAAAACTCTGTCCATGTACTGGCCACCGGTGCAAGGAAGTAGGAAGGTGGCAGGAAGAGTCAGGCAGAGCCCAAGATGCAAGGGAGGGTCTGCACGAAGCAGCCACCCCCGCCCAACACACACCCTGCGCCCTCCCAACACCCTCCACAAGGTGGGTCAGACGCGGGTGACGAGCTACTGCCTAAGCCGCCACGGAGGGCTGGGCTCACCCGTCAACACAGGCATGCTTTCCCACTGGAGAGCCCTGTGAGTCTAGCGGCCTTGTCCTCCCACAACACACACCCAAGGTGGTGGAAGGAAGTTCCAACTCCTGGCTGTGCACAAGACCTTGCTGGTCTTGGAGAAGTGAGAAATCAACAGGAAATCCTGTGACTCTGGATCTGGAATTCCCCACTCAAAGGAACCAGAAAATGAAGCCAAAACAAGGATTCAAGTCCAGCCCCCAGGCTTTTGGATTGCGGCTTAAACCCAGAGCCCTGGGTCCTAACAAGTGAGTGCCAGCAGAGCCCCTGTGCTTCCCAAGGCCCCTTGCCCTCTGGCCCCCCGTGGGGCTGATGCAACTCCCACCTCCACTAGCTGCCGAAGGCTGCCTTCTCTGCCAAAGCCACACTGCCTAGGTGGCCCACCCCCACAGCCACTGTCACTCGCTCGCCGCTAGCCCAGACACTTGACCAGCCTCCAACTGTTCCGCCCTTGTAAGTAGACCCTCTGTTCAACTCTCCCCTGTGATTCCATCTCACGGTGACTGCGTTCCTGGCCAGGGCCCTAAAAGATACCACCCCCACAGCAGCTGGCCACTCCCTACCTTCCTGTTCATCTTCACCTGGTCCCCTAAGCAGAGCAGCTGGTCTTTAACTGGTCTGTGTCTAGCTCCCGGGCTGGGTCCCTGGGCACCTCGGACTGAGGATTTTGCCATCTGTCCCCTACATGCCTTGCACAAACCCTGGCAGAGGAAGGTGGGGTGTGGAGGGGACCACACACTGGCCGCTCCAGCCCAAGTCCTGGGGGGCAGCAGCACCCTCAAGGCACTCCTGGGACTGTATCCCCACACCACCCTGCTCGGGCCCACAGACAACACTCCAACACACTGGCCTAAGACAGACTGATGGACAGACAGGCAAATGTGCCTAACAACTAAACCATGTCGCCGTCAGAGAAATGCCAGCCATCTCCAGCAGGAGGCGATGACACAAGAGGGGGCTCCGGGCTCACGCCTCCATGTTGAATCCTGATAGCGCCCGCCATCAGCTGGGGGACCTGGAGAAGGGTAGCAGCTTCTCTGGGCCTCATCTGCAGAGAGGTGCGCCCAGGTACCAATCACCGCCTCACGGAGCCGGGGTGAAGAGCTCACAGCGTGCAGTGCCTTGAGCCCAGCGCCAGGCAGGCTAAGCACTGGGTAGAGACCTGGTTTCCCTGCAACCCTGGGAGCCTTCCAGAGCACCTCCTCCCCAGCCCAGTGCTGGGGAAGGCCTGCAGCTTGCCCACGCTCCCTGCCAGAGGGCAAAGGGTGGGAGACATGGACATTCCACATCCTCCTTCACACATTCCAGCCAAGAATGGGGAGCACAAAGTCAGCCTAGTTATTCCCCCAAGGAGACCCCACCATCCTGCCCCAGCCGGACGACACTCACGCTGCCGAGGGCATGGCCGGTGACCAGAGGGTGTACAAGAGCATGCCGTCTCGTGCCTCTTCTCCAGCCCTTCCCAGCACCCCAAAACACTCTCAATCCTGAAAGCGCAATACAAGCCAGTTTGTGAGCTGGTGCAAGATGTCACTGGCTGATAAGATGTCACCGAACTTTACAATGACTGGGGTGGGGTGGGGGGAGCCCTCTCGGATCCCACTGCTTGTGAGGAGAGGTTGCTGGTTCCAGATAAGGAAACTGAAGTACAGAGAGGATCAGGAAGCTGCTAAGGGTCACACAGGATGGACCATGTTCTCTCCTGTCCCCTCAGCTCATGGTGGCTTTACACAGGCACAGCCATTCAAGACTCTCCGTTGTTTGTTTGGGTTTTTTTTTTAACAACCCTAGACCCTGGGGCGCCTGTGTGGCTCAGTTGGTTAAGTGTCTGCCTTCGGCTCAGGTCATGATCCTGGGGTCCTGGGATCGAGTCCCGCATCGGGCCCCCTGCTCCGCGGGGAAGCCTGCTTCTCCTTCTGCCTCTCCCCCTGCTCGTGCTCTCTCTTTCTTTCTCAAATAAATAAATAAGATCTTTAAAAAAAAGAAAGAAGAACAACCCTAGACCCTGCCCCACCCCAGCCTCACACCCATCTGAGCCTAGAGAGAGAGGGGGAGGGCCTGGCAACAGGCAGGGGCCACTACAGGGGTCCGTTCACACTTAAGAATGAGGCAGTGTTACCGAGGCCACACCGCCTGAGCAGTGATCAGTCCAACGCGGGAGCTGCACGGCTGGGCAGACCAGGCTGCCCACCTGGCTCAGGTGCGGCCGTGTGCTCTGCCTCAGGGCACTCCCTGAAGCTGGGCCTCCTCATCTGTAAAATGGACTAGCAACAGCTACCTCAGGGGCCAACTGGGAGGATTCAGTGAGGTGACACCTGCGAGCACGGCCCATAACAGCCCCATAACTGGCAGCTGGTCGCAGTCCCCCCCACCCCGCACCCCCCACGCCTTCATCTGACACATCTTTACTGAGAACCTGGTCTGTGGCCGGGCACTGTTCCAACTGCAGCGAGAAAAGAGGGATCCCACCGCAGCACGACCTCTGAAGCTCGAGTGGAAGCCACCCCTGGCACCGCCGGGGCCCCCTCCCTTCCACCCCCTCATGAGGGTACCCGGCTGCACGCAGGAAACAAGAATTGACACCAAGCCAGGCCCACCCTCAGCCTCGGGAACACTGGAAAATTACATGCTGCCTCGGGCTGCTGCACACAAGGCACTGACACCATCAGAAACATCTTCCCAGTCTGTTTGGAGCTGTGGGACATGGCTTCTCCCGAAGCCCCAGCCGTACCTCTTTGCTTGGGCAGCTTCACTGACTTGGAAGCAGGTGCGCTTTAAAACCGTCCCGCGGATAACAGAGGGCTGAGGGAGGGCACAGGCCAGCAGTTCACAGAAAAATAAAGACAAGTAGCACATAAACACATGTGCCTGCATGCAGGGGACTTTCCTGAAGCCTGATTTTCATGACCACGCCCACGTGCCCTCCTTGCATCTTGGCCTTGTCTATACCGTGAAATCTTTCTCCAGCATGGCCTCTGGCCTCTCACTGCCCTGGGAGCCATACCACACCCTTACTCCACGAGTGTCCAAGGACATCCAGAGGCCTACCCGTGAGGGATCCCCTTCCAGCACTGCCATGCTCACGTGAGTTTCTTGGCGCCCTGAGCCTCAGGCTCCCCACCTGAGCAATGGGCTTGTCCGGTCCCCGTCCTGGTGCATAAGGGGACTGCCATCCCGGGTGTGCAACAGGGGCGGCTCAGCAGCCTGTGTTCCCCGCTCCGCCCCCACCCCCGCCCCCCACCAATGCTCTGCTCCTTGCTCTGTCCTTTGCCCCAGATGTCTCTGGTAGCTCAGTCCTAATTACCTCTCCAGTAGGCTGTTCTGACCATGGGGACACAGTGAGCTCAGAGCAGGCTGGATTTTCCCCACGTAGCATTAGCCCCCTGGACTTCCTTTCTTCCCTGGGTCTTCCACGTCCCCCCTCGCCTCTGTCACTGCTACTCCCTGTCTCTTCCCTGACTCCCCCCCTCCCCCAGCCTCAGGTCCTCTCCCGCTGTTCCTCCCCCACCTCCTCCTCTGGGGCTGCACCCGTCATTTCCATGCCAATGACCCTAAGTTCACAGCCCTCATCACTCTCCCCAACTTTCTACTAGAAGTTTCCACCCTGAGGGCCCCTGGGGCCCAGCCCCCAGCCCCTGACACCCACAGTAGTGGCTCCACCACCATCTCCATGCCCTCCCGGACCCTCCCCACCCCAGGTTAACTCATCTCCTCAGATGCCCTGAGCTGCACCCTGAGCCCACAGGCTCCCCTTCCTGCCCCAAAGGAGGCTTTCATCAATTGTCTACACTGGTAATTCTCCATGAGATAAAGCAGTTCAGATTTTAGAGTCAGTCCAAACTGGCTTCAAATCACAGCGTAGTCATTTTTGGATGGGTGAGGATGGGTGATGTCCAGCAGGTCCCTCCACCACTCAGTTTGCTCATCTCTAAAGTGGCAATGAAACGATCCCAGTCTGAACGCAGTAATGGGAGTTCCATGGGACGACCTAACTCTAACACCCCATTCTCAGCGTCCTGCCCAAGAATGTTGATCCCAGGTGACATCAAGCCCACCAGACGAATCGCACCCTACCCCCAATCTTATCGCCAACCCAGGCGCTATCCCCACGCCCTGGGCGGACGGGCTCCTGCCGTCAGAAGGGCCAAGCCGGGTGTCCGAGGAAAGGCCAGCAGCCGCAGCTTTCCGGCCATTGTCCCCGCCGACCCCGCCCGGCCCTGGCCACCTACCCCGGCGCGGCGGGCGGTGGGCTCTGCCGGTGCTGGCGCCGCCGGTAGAGCCCCGACGCGGCGAGGGCTCCCAGCCGGGCTGCCATGGTGCAGGCCTCCTCCTCCGGTTGCGGGGCGGCCCTGCTCCAACGGACCCGCGACCACCCCGGCCTCGGGCGTCAGAGGCGGTGGCGAGAGCGGCAGGGCGCCCGGCAGCCACCTCCGGCCAAGCCCCGCGCCGGCGACGGGACAGGCCAGCATGCAGGGGGCGCCTCTCCCCCCACTCCCTCTGGACAGGAGCTCACGTTACACACTGCGATCTCCAAAGGGCAGCGGAGTCAACTCCAAATAGAAAGGATATTGTTCGCGCGGCGGGGGCAGCACAGTGAAATGAGAGGCTGGTGGGGCTGGGTCCAGGCTGGGGAGGTGACTCGCTGGGAAGGTCCCAAACAGCACTGAGGTGAGGTCCATAGTGGCAGGCCAGGATGCCCGGAGGTCCCAGGCTCAGAGGAGCCTGAGAGGGAACCCTAAGCCCCCTGACATGCTGATGATGGACTCGTGGCTGAGGAGGGCAGTATGGGACTGATCTGGCTTAGGAATCCTAGAAAACAGTTAAGAAGCTGGTGAGGAAGTCCCACACACATGCCCACCTTCTGCCTTGTTCCCTTCCCTGAGAGCCTGCGCTGCAAATGCCACCGGGAAACCCAGACCAGGGCAGCCTTGGTCCCCTGGATCCGACCAACAAATTGCCAAGCACCCAAAAGAGGTCCATGCTGTCAAAGCTCAGAGAACAAGTTATCCCCCAACTTGTCGGGAAAAGCAGAAGCAGCAGAGTTTGATAGAAGACCGCCAGGAAGGCATGATTTCCATGCATTTTTACCTAAAGAGATCAGCAGGGTTATTGTGATCCAAGTGCAAACACCCAAGGTCAGCGTCTGAGCTGTGGCCACGGCTGGCGGAACGGATGCTCTGGTCAGCGTAAAATAAGGATCCAGAGCACTCACAGAGATTTTTCACACTGATTCCATTTCCCTGAAAAACCCTTCTAGTAAAGTCAGAAAGTATGAGCAGTATCTTCCTCTGCCTTTCAAAAGAAAAAAACAGTAGCTATCATTCTGAACAGCGGGGTCCTCCTACACTGGGGTGGAGGGAAACTTTGGAGAGGATCCATTGGCACTCAGATGCCGGGCCCACATACCAAAAAGCATACCTCATCCAGCAAATCCAAACTCATTAACCATCCTGGGGGTCAGCTCCAAAACACAGCCAGATGACCACAAGCATTGGGTGCAATATAACTTATAAATGCAGCTCGATTCCAAAAGTACCAAGCACTGATCAATTCAACAAATATTTTTTTAAAGGTGGCTGTAGGGGCAAAAGGGCATAGAGAGGCTGGGGTTGGAGGAGCCAACAAGGACAAAGATCACCTCCTACTCTCTGATGGATAGCTGAATGCTTAAGAAAGCTAACTAGAAAGTTTTGTTATAGCATCTTGAAGTCAATGCCCCAGGGCCTGGGCCCCTCCTACCAGCCCCACTCAGCCCATGGGGAAATTCTGAACTCTGGAACCCAGAACCCACCAAGAGCCACAATATCATTTAAGAAGGGAACATTTATTTAGGGTTTCTGCAATTGCAGGTAAACCAGAGACAGAGGCTATAGCCACAAGTGTTTTGTGCATCATAATTTGTAAATGAAGTTCAAGTCCAAGGTTACCGAGCCCTAATCAATTCAACAAATATTTACTATAAAAGGAAGTACCAGGGGCTAGAAATTGAGAAAGGAAATTAGAGTCTGTTTGAGCCCAAATCCCAAATCTCTGTACAGCCTTGTGCCCCAGCCCCCCAGTTCTGCAACCTGTCTTGCAGAAGTGGGTGTCAGAGCCATGCAGGTGTCCCCAGCCAGCACTCTGGCTCCAGAGGACAAAGTTGTAAAAACATAATAAGAATGATATCAGTATAAATGGCAGAGTAAGAACTTTTGAAATTTTGTCCCTCCATAAAAACAATGAAAAAACTAGCAAAAATTTTTTGGAACTCTGTCAATTAACCACAGTTTTGCAGTAACCCAGGGGCATTTGGTCAAGAATTTTGGTAAGAACAGTGAGCTTTGTGGTGTTTTAACTAATCCTAACCCATGACCCCTATACCATAATTCCATGGCTGCCTTGAAAAATAACATCCCACATTCCCAGTAATTAAGAAGCAGACAGAGCTGGAGCTCCTTCAAAACTTCATTCTCTGGAAGACTCCATTTGAAAGTCTTGTCTTTTTGTGACCTCACTCACACATACCCAATGCTAAAAGCCTCTCTTAGGGGGTATTTTTCAAATATCCTACTATGGTAGTTGCCTATGGTATCATAGCTGTCATTGCCATGGGCAATGGATAACAGTGAGAGCAACAATAGACTAATCAAAAAGCTTAAAAGGAAAAACTGAGGAATGGGATGTCCTTAGGGGCTTTGAAAAGGACCAACATATTCCTGGGACTCTAGAAGGCCATGCAAAAGCCCAGGACTGCTTGCATGCTCAGGGAAGAACTAAGAAGGTCCTAAGCTCTCACTTCTGACTGACCTTCAGGCTTGTGTAAGCAGGAGTGAAGGCTAAGGCAGAGTTGTAAACTGACCAGTTGAATGCTGAAGGTGGGCCCCAACATACGCTTCGTGCCCTCAGCAAAGATCGAAAGACTTATTGGTTTCAGGCATTGAGGGAAATCTTTGTCCAGCCATTAGCTGGCCACTAAACTAACCAAGCAGAGACTTCAGTGGTCACAAATGACAGAGATACAGACTTCATAGAATTGGATCAGAAAAGTCACTAAACGGGCACCGGGGTGGCTTAGTCAGGTAAGTGTCTCCTTTGGCTCAAGTCATGATCTCAGGGTCCTGGGATCAAGCCCCACATCGGGCTCTCCACTCAGCAGCAAGTCTGCTTCTTCCTCTCCCTCTGTGATCTCTCTCACTCACTCTCTCTAATAAATAAAATCTTTAAAAACATAAAATAGAAATTAAACTTTAAAAAAAAATTTAAAAAAGAAGTCACTAAACAAACAAGTAGCAACAACAAACTGAGGAGTGGGGGAGAATCTGATCTCAGAATCGCCACATATTATTTGAAATGTCCAGTTCTCAGCAAAAAATTATAAGACATACAAAGAAATGAGAAAGTGTGACCCTTCCACAGAAAAAAAGAGCAATCAACAGAAACTGTCCCTGAGGAAGCCCAAATATTAGACTTAACTAGACTTTAGATCAGCTATTTTAATTATGTTCAAAGAACTAAAGGAAACCATGTCTAAAAAACTAAAGGAAAGTATGAGAATGATATCTCACCAAATGGAGAATATTGATAAAGAGATAGAAATTATTAAATGGGACCAAATAGAAATTCTGCAGTTGAAAAGAAATACTAAAACGAGTCCTTCAGGATGAAATTAAAAGACACTAGGCAATAATTTGAATCCACATGAAGAAATAAAAAGCAGCAAAGTATATTTAACCTTGACATAGTAAAGGTAACTATATAGATAAAAATAAAAGACAATATAAATGTACTTTTTATTTATCAACCTATTTTTCCCATCTGATTTAAAAACAACAACATAATGAAATAATTTAATACAAAAGAAGGCAATAATAGTGTAGGAGTTGAGAAACAAAAAAAACCATAAGATATATATAAAAGATAGTAAATGGTAAATGTAAAATAATTACATTAAATGTAAATGGATTACACTCTCCAATTAAAAGTCAAATTAGCAAATGGAATTTTTTTTAAAAACATGATCTACCTATATGATTTCTATAAGAGATTCACTTTAGACAAAAACACAAATAGTTTTTTGTTTTGTTTTTTTAAAGATTTTATTTATTTATTCATGAGAGATAGAGAGAGAGGCAGAGGAAGAAGCAGGCTCCCCATGGAGTGGGGAGCCCGATGCGGGATTCGATCCCAGGACCCTGGGATCATGACCTGAGCTGAAGGCAGACGCTTAACCGACTGAGCCACCCAGGCGTCCCAAAAACACAAATAGTTTGAAAGTAAAAGTATGGAAAAGATATACCATGTCAACAGCAGCTAAAAAAGAACTGGAGTGGCTATCTATCCTAACTTCAGACAAAATAGACTTTAAAACAAAAATTGTTACAAGAGCAATAAAGGAACTTTTATAGGGATAAAAGCATCAATCCATCAAAAATAAATAACAAGTATAAACATATACGCACCTAATAATAAACTCAAAATACTTGGAACAAAAATTGATAGAATGAAAGAAAAATAGATAATTTAGCAATAATAGACATGCTAATACTCCACTTTTTTTTTTTTAAGATTTTTACCTATTTATTTGAGAGAGAGAGAGAGAGAGAGAGAGCACGAGCGGGGGAGGGGCAGAGGGGCAAAGGGAGAGGGAGAAGCAGACTCCCTGCTAAGCAGGGAGCCCAATGTGGGATTTGATCCCAGGACCCTGAGATCATAACCTGAGCCGAAGGCATACGTTTAACTGACTGAGCCACCCAGATGCCCCAAAACTCAACTTTCTTAATGGGTAGACTAAATTACACAAAAGCTAAGCAAGGATATAGAAGGCATAAACTACACCTAAAAGACATCTATAGGATACTCCACCCATCAATAGTAGAACATACATCCTCAAGTGTACATGGAACATTCTCCAGGGTAGACCATATGCCAGGCCATAAAAAGAGCCTCATGAAACTTAAAAGGATTGAGATCATGGAAAGCATATTCTCAGATCACAGTGGAATAAAATCACTAATCAATAATAAAAGGAAATTTAGGAAATTTATAAATATGTGGAAATTAAACAACACACTCCTAAAGAACTGCTGAGTCAAAGAAGAAAACAAGGGAATTTGGAAAAGACCTTGAAATGAAAACACAACACACCAAAATTTATGAGATGTAGCTCAAGCAGTGTTCGAGGAAAATTTATATTTGTAAATAGTTGCATAGTTTTAACTATAGTTATTTTTTTTTTAAAGATTTTATTTATTCATTCATGAGAGACAGAGAGAGAGAGAGAGAGGCAGAGGGAGAAGCAGGCTCCCAAGGAGCAGGAAGCCCGATGCGGGACTCGATCCCAGGACCCTGAGATCACGACCCGAGCCGAAGGCAGATGCTCAACCATCTGAGCCACCCAGGCGCCCTTAACTATAGTTATTTATAGTTGTATAATAGGGGTGCCAGGCTGGCTCTGTCAGTAGAGCATGTGACTCTTGATCTTGGGGTCATGAGTTCAAGCCCCACTTTCGGCATGGAGCCTACTTTTAAAAAATAGTTGTGTAATAGTCAAATAGTTGTATA